TGGAAGGATTGATACTCCTTCCAGACAGCTGGTCATTTGCATCCTTTTAGAGAGTCCTTGAGGCCACTTGAAGAACCCTCAACAGAGGGGGAGGGATACGATGTCACCTACCTCCAGTCTACAACACAGTCCTTTCAGCAGTTCCAAGAAGGCTCCACACCCATTTGCACCACTCAGGTGACTCTGAGGACACAGACAAACCTCCAGGTGGCCTCAATGACTCTCTCAAAGGATGCAAAGGACCAGCTGTCTGCAAGGAGTATAAATCCTTCCATTCCCCACCATCCAGTCAGAGCTGAAGAAACTTTTTGGATGAGAAGTAAAAAGTCTTCAAAGAAAAATCCAAAAAATCCAGTTGTCCCAAAGGGACAACCTCTGGGATAGCCATGACCTGGATGACTGAGAATTTCCATAGATCTCCATCCAGAAATAACAGAAGACAGAAATATGTTTATGTGGCACTAAGGATAAAATTCCTGACAGTGGTGCTCCATCACCGGAAGTTTTCAAAAAGAAATTGGATATCTATTAATTTGGATGGTATAAGGATGCCTATTTGGCAGGGGGTTGGACTAGAAGACCTCTAAGGTCTCTTCCAGCTTTATGATTTTATAAATCTCACTTTTTTTAAACAAAGAAAATAGGTGTGTCCTTTCAAATTTGCTTTCCCATTCCCACTCATTGTAGGGTCCAGCACCACAGGTAACTCAGCAAAGATGTGCTGCAAATTTTTATTAATTTATCAAAATATAAAATACAAAAATACAAAAAGAAATGAGAATGATAGGAAAATAGGGAAGGAGAAGGAAGAAAGGAAAACATGTAGGAGAAAGGGGAAAAGAAAAAAGATAAGTATTGACCAACGACTCCTTTTGGTTCAGTAGAATAAAATAATAACATGAAATCTCAACTTTTTAGTTTTATATGATAATACATACTAGTTATTTCTATAATGACAAATCTATCTAATCAGCAAACCCAAAAATTAAAAAATTCATTTTACCCACCTCAAGCACAAAGTCCAGAAGTGGTTTCCAAGTAGAAGCAAAATTAATTGTCTTATTTTCTTTAATCAGAGCAGACAATTTAGCCATTTCTGCTAAGCCCATCAACCTTTGCAGCCATTTGTCCATTGTGGGAATCACAGCAGGAGTGAGGAGGGAAGGAGAGGATTCCCCCCCCCCCATGATCCTTCATCTGGGCCAGGTGTAGACTAGGCTGTGTTTTACAATTGGGATGGGTGGGGGACTTTGCCCCAGCTCTTGGGAGCCATCTGGGAAGTCTGATGTCTCTTCTTTCTTCTTTCCTATCCAACCCCCTCCAGGAGCAGCGACTGGTTGAGGATTCCACACGGGAGGTGAAGAAAGTGCGGAAGGCGCGCAACCGGCGACTGGAGTGGAACATGATGGCTTACGATAAAGAATTCCGTCCAGATAACAGGTTCTCACCATCCCCATATCACATGGCTTCATCGGAAGGATCACTGTCCCCAGATAATAGGCAGGTTTTGTGAATGACACATCTCGCTTGGCCTCCTCCGTTGCTTTGACTGCCATGTCTTGCTTGGCTTTGTGGTTTTGGCTTCCAAGGGCTTTGGGGTTGCTTTGGTGGAAGAGAGCATGCAGGCCTTTGGGGTAGGTGGGAAATCTGTGCCATTCTTTAAAAGCATGAATATCTGCTGCTCAGGGACTGCTGGATTGGGGCGAGGGGTTGGCTGGTTTGATGTGGTGCTGAGCCGAGCAGTTAATGGCACCATTTGGAAGATGTGGAATTGTGCTTGCACCACCTTTGCTGCATGCTTCTCATCTGTCCCTTCCCCTTCCTTTCTTTCCCCTGTCCTCTTTCCCTCTATTTCCATCTCCCTCCACATTCTATTCCTCTTTCTCTTCTACCTTCTCCTCTTCCTCCACCTCCTCCTTCACCTCTACCTTCTCCTTCATCTATTCTTCCTCCTTCAACTTTATCTTCCTTCTCCTCCTCTATCTGTACATGCACCTCCTCCTCCTTCTCCACCATTATCACCACCTCCTCCTCCTCCACCACCTCCTCCTCCTCCTCCTCCATCTCCATGCTTGCACATGTTAACAGTATGGCTTTTGGCACACCAAACCCTTGGTTCCAAGAGGTAATAGATACCATCAAGTCCCTGCCATCAATTGGATCCTCTGCTCGTCCCCCCAATTCCTGCCCTCCAGGTGGACAACCTCTTGGTGTTTTTGTCTGCAACAGATCTTATGCATCCGATGTAGCTGATCATTCCTACCCAGCCAGTCCTAACCATCCTGGCCAACAGATGATGGCTCCAGCCACACATCTGGCCACCGAGAACAAAGAGGTGGTCCTGGTGGCCACCCAGGTCCAGGATCAGATCTTCAGGCCCTCGGCAGTGGGAAGCCGGCAGAACAGCCTCAGCCGCGTGCAGCAGCCCCATGTGCCACAGCCACCCGAGACCATGTTAAATGGACCACGACCTCAGATAATCAAGGACTATGGGTATGGATTTTGGTCTACTTCCTTTTACCTGTCCGTCATGACTTTCCCCCTAAGCAGGAAGAGTTGAGTTTTTTCTGAAGCTCCCAGGTGGAAAAATTCCTCTTTCCAGAACTACAGAAATGTGATGTAATTTATTCTAGGGGTGGACTTCAGAAACCAGATTATAACCCCTTTCTTTTCCTTTTTTTTTTATGGACGGGCCCCAAATAAGATTCAGTGCCCTGAAATCACCATTGGAAAATGCCACCTAGAGGTGGGGGGGCCTCCAAACTTGGCAATGTTAACCCCCAGAATTCCCCAGCCAGCATAGCTTGAAGTCTTAAAATCCACAATCTTAAAATCTTAAAGTTGCCAAGTTTGGACACCTCTGACCTTGAATGAACTCCTTTGATGATCATCTCTTGACAGTCCTGAGACATTCAATAATCCCTGTCGGATGGCAGCAAAGGAAGGTCCCTCCTGGCTGGTGCTCCTTATTTCAGCCAACTGGGGAAGTGGGAGATTTCTTTCTCAGGCCAAGCCTGTTGAGGCCCTCATCCTGGGAACCTTTCAGCCGTCCCCAACCAGAGCTCTCAAAGAGAGGCCAGGCTGCCCAGTGGCATATCTGCTTGCGTCAACAGGGTTCTGTCCCCTTCATGAACATACAGGTCATTGTCAACGTACAACCACAACTGAGCCCAAAATTTATGTTGCTAAGCGAAACATCTGTTAAGTTAATTTCCCCCCATTTTAGAACTTTTCTTGCCACAGTTGTTAAGTGAATCACTGTAGATGTTAAGTCAGTAACATGGTTATTAAGTGAATCTGGCTTCCCCATTGACTTTGTTTGTCAGAAGGTCACAAAACCAGGTCACGTGATCCCTGGATGCTACAACCGTCATAAGTACAAGTCAGTTGCAAGCATTCGAATTCTGATCAAATGGCCATAGGGAGGCTGCAACAGTCATAAATGTGAAAAATGTTCATAAGCCACTTTTTTCAGTGCTGTTGTAACTTCGAACGGTCACTAAATGAACTGTTGTAAGCCGAGAACTAACTGTATCATCTATGAGCAGCCTGTCAAAGGAGCTGACTTTCCCCTTTGCTCAGAAAACACGGAGATCCTTAGAGCAATTGTTGCTGATGTGACGTCATAAGCCACGGGTGATATTTGTTTATCCTCAAACCTGCCCTTTTCCCATCTAACGTTTAATAACCAGCAGTCCGTTTTTCCCAGCTTTTCAAATTGACACCTGCTCAAATAGGGCCCCAATCCAGGGCTTCTCTGTGCCCCAAAACCCTTCTTGGCTTTTTGCATGGATGCAGAATTCATTCTTTCTTTGGCTATTGGGAAAGGTTGTCATCCATTGGCTCAATTAGCCAATTAAAAATGAATTAAGCGTATCTCTTGGGACAGGATTAAGAATACAGGTAGTCCTCAATTTACAACCACAATCAAAGTCAAAGTTTTTGTTGCTAATGAGACAGCTGTTAAGTGAATTTTGCCCTGTTTTATGACCTTTCTTGGCACAGTTGTCAAGTGTATCACTGCAGTTGTTAAGTCAGTAACACGGTTGTTAAATGACTCTGGCTTCCAGAGCAAAGCCAGGAGATCACGTGACCCAGGGACACTCCAACCATCGTAAAATCATGCCAGTCCCCAAGCGTCCGAACTTTCATCTCGTGACCATAGGGAGACTGCAATGGCCATAAGTGTGAAAAATGGTCATGTTACTTTTTTCATGCCGTTGTAACTTTGAATAGTCACTAAGTGAACTGTTGCAAGTCAAGGACTACTTGCAAGGAGCTTCTACATGGGAGTGATTTCCTCTAGCAGCCTTCCTCTGCCTCCAGACAGGGATCTATTTATCGTCCATGATGAGCATTTTGGCTGAGAGTGGATCTAGAAGAATGTGCAAAGGCCAGGATTTCTCAGCTGAGAAGCGGTTGCTATGGGGAATCTTCCAGCCAGCCTTTCCGTGTTCCAAGGCAAAGCAGAATCATTCCTCATTGTTCTTATTATAAATTTGTTCCCTTCAGCTTCCACATCAGTTTATCCCTGGCACGAAACCTGTTAGGGGTTTTTATACTCTTTTGTTTGAACATGACGCATCTTATCTATTTTCTTGGAACAGGCTTTGTTTGAAAGTCTTTCCATAACACGATGTGATTTTTGGCTAAAGTTTCTTTAATTTCATATGTTTTTATGCCCATTATCTCCAATAAGTGAATTTTTGCAACTTAAGGTTGTTGTTTTTAAGTTAACTGTTTGCAAAATTTGGTAAATTGTGTATCATTGGCAGATGATTCAGGACTTTTCAACACAATAGCTTTTATTAAAATGTGAATTATTTCCTTAGGTTGGCTGAAGAAATGACTCACATTTTAATAAAGCCAATATACAAATTTCTCATGGTGCTTGCTTGTATATTAGACTGTCTAGTAAGTGCTGCTGAGGCATTGCATTTCTGCATTCCTTTTCATTGGAATTAAAAAGTATCTTCCATTCTGCAAATAATTTAATGTTATATTACTCTACAACTGGCAACCTTCTCTCTGGTCCTAATTGATTCACTTTCAATGTAATCATGTCAGTATTGATAAATGGCCCCTCTAATTATCCCTTAATTATTCCACTTTCTTTACCCAGCGGAATTTCAGTTATTGGTTTCTTTCCAATTAGAACTGTTCTTTTTTACTATAGAAAGAGGTCCACGGGCCAAAAGGGAAGGAGAACTTAAGAGAATGCATGGAAGGTTCCTTTCCTCGCTAAAGAAGACATAGTCACAAGGATGTAGGACCTAAGGGGGAATCTCCCCATTAAGGCCAGAGTAATTTACAAGCATCAGTAATGTAATTGAACCTCACCTAACAAGCAAGTGTCGGCAGTTGTGCTTTACAACCAAGTCAATTCTAGGAGGAAAAAAAGAAGACAACAAAGACAATAGGAAAGCAATAGGTTATCAAGAGATGGATTCACTTCACTTTCACCTTTTAATTGTTTGGATTGTGTAGATGTCCACTTCAACAGATGTTTATGTATCCCTCAGCCTTTTACTGTAATACTCCACTTGGCACTGAGGTCTTTAGGGACATCATCTCGCCCTCTTATAGGAGATTCTCCACCTGAACCTATGTAGTGATAGGACTACCACCATGTCCACCTAATGTTAAGAAAGAGGACTTATTTCCCCAAAAATAAGACCGGGTTTTTAATTAATTTTTGCTCCAAAAGATGCATTAAGGCTTATTTTCTGGCTAGGTCTTATTTTGGGGAAATATACTAAACATGTCCATCCGGCTGATAATCTTAACTGGGGCTTATTTTGGGGGCAGGGCTTATAATTACAAGCATTTTGAGAAATAATTATGCTAGGGCACTTATTTTTGGGGAAACACGGTAGTTTGGTATAGTGATTATAGCACCAGGTTAGATAGTGGGAGAGCATGAGTTCTAGTTCTGCGCAGATGTGTAGAGTGTCCTTGGACCAGTCACTTTCAACCCTAGAAAGAAGGCAGAACACTTTCATAGGAGAAAACTGCACAAAATCTATGAGGTAAACCAATGCCACTTTTATTGTAAAGCTATAGTAACCAAATCTTGCAAATCTGAATGTGCTTCCACCTCCCTCTATCTTTGGGCAAATGAGGGAGGAGCTTGTCTGAATTGTTTTTGTCAGGGTTCCGACCGATGCCCTAATTAAACCATGAGCATCAAGCCAAACTTCAAAAGAAATCCAATTATTTATTAGGAGCTTCATGTCGTTTGGGACCCTGTTTCCACCTCCCCCCAAGGTGTGTCATCAATCACATTCCCCAAGGAAGCAATTTCAAGGGTGGTGGAAATCACTCCCTCTGACTACTGTGGGTCATCCTGGAGATGACCTTGGCTTTGCCAGATGGAATGTGCTTTGTTTTGACTGAAATGCAAGTTCCTTGATGCAGCTGCAAGGCTTGACCCCCCCATTCCCCAGCCCATAGCAACTCAAGAGCAGGTCAGGAATGCTTTGTGAGTTGACAATTTTCTCAAGTTGCCTTCTTGGACCAGGCTCAGGTCCCCTTACCTAAGCAGTGTCTTGGTAGACACCCTTCCTTTTGCCCTTGAGGCAATTCCGCCGGCCCTATACCCTATGTAGTCAGCAGCACTTGAAGGTGAACATGCATAAAAAGGGAAAAGTTCAGTGCCTCCTGCCCATTTGTATTTCCATGTCAATGCTACATTAATGGCATGCATAGCTTTGATGATGGCCAAATAAGCATAAATTTATGTTTATTGAGAAACAACCTAGAACTAAAGAAATATTTCCTAATGGTGAGAGCAATCAACCAATAGAATAGTTTGCCTTCAGAAGTTGTGAGTGCACCATCATTGGAGGTTTTCAAAGAGACTGGACAACCATTTCTCAGAAATGGCGTAAGATCTCCTGCTGAAGCAGGGACTAGAAGACTTCTGTGGTCCCATCCAATTGTATTATTTTATTTTCCAAATAAAACAGCAATTCCATGCTAAATATCGGGGGGGGGGAGTGTCAACAAACAGGACTTCAGGACCATGGACAGCAGCCTCAATTGACACTGTAGAAAAGGGTTGCTCAATCCCTGGGCCCTGGCCCACATCCAGGTCATGGCCTATTCGGAATTGGGTCACATGAATGACCGGGTGTGCATAGCTCAACTGGCACAAGCAGTGGGTCGGTAGGTATTTACATGCATGTGCACCGGCCCGCCTCTTACACAAGGTGAGCTGCACGGACGGTCACATGTTCTCCTGCTAGCCACTCACATAGCCCAATTCCAAATAGGACATGGCCTGGTAGTGTGCTGCAGCCCAAGGATTGGGGACTTCTGCTGCAGACAAAAATGCATTTCATAGATTCCTAGGGCTGGAAGGGACCTTGGAGGACTTCTAGTCCAACTTCCTGGTCAACACCATCCTGGACAAATGGAATGCTTTCAAGCAGTACAATCCTCATCTTATTTAAAGGTAGCCAAGAGGTATTATAATGCAAAGCACAGATTAGAATTGCAAATGATATTCAGAGAAATGGTTTCTTGCAGGAAAAGCACTTGTCTTTCTTGGTTAGAGCATCATCTAAGGTAATTATCTTGTGGGCAGTAAAAGACAGCAGCGTATTTTAAGGTAAGCAATAATTATGGATCAGATGAATATAGAAACAGCCCTGGTCTTCCTTTTCCTTGCCTAGAGACAAAAGGAGCAAATATTAGGACAAATCTGCATTCATTGATTATGTGGGATAAAAATGCATCGGTTGCAGGAAATAAAAAGCTTTAAAGGACACTCAATGGATTTAGGAAGCTTGAACCATCTTGCCTTAAGAAGCTTCTCTCTAAATTAACATCGAGGAAATGGGCGATCCAGAACTGAAAGGCGGAATGGAATTGAGTCAGCTGAGGCTGTTTTATATTAGACAACCTGTGATCTGCTGGGTCATCATTTCGGAGAGATTTCCTCACGAGATTCCTCAATCTCTTCAACCATGGCAGAGCTTCTAAGGTACAGGTAGTCCTCAAGTTGTTAAGTGAATCACTGCAGTTGTTAAGTCAGTAACACGGTTGTTACCATATTTTTTGGACTATAAAACACACTGAATATAAGACGCACCAAGATTTTGAAGAGGTAAATTAAAAAAAAAGCTTTTGCACTCTGCAGGCCTCCCAAATCCTCTGCAGGCCTCGTTTTTTTGTGAAAAATAGGACATGCAGAGTTGAGAGGCCTGCAAAGTGCTCCTGGGGGTTAGGGGGGAGCAAAAACGAGCAAAAAATGGCCCACTTTTTGCAAAAAAACAGGGCATACATAGGCTTTGGGAGGCTTGTAGAGTGGTCCTGGGGGCTGTGGGGGAGCAAAAACCAGTCCATTTTTCACTCATTTCTACCCTCCCTAGCCCCCAGGAGCACTCTGGAAGCCTCCTAAAGGCTCTGCACGGCCATTTTTGCAAAGAGGATAGGGTTTCGGGAGGCCAAAAATGCTGTATTCAGTGTATAAGACGCACCCAGATTTTCAGCCTCTTTTTTTTATACTCAAAAAAATACGGTAAGTGAATCTGGCTTCCCTTATTGCCTTTGCTCGTCAGAAGGTCGCAAAAGGGGATGACATGACCTAAGGACACGGCGACTGTCATAAATATTAGTTGATTGCCAAACATCCAAATTTTGATCATTGTGCTGCAATGGTGATATGTGTGGAAACTAGTCATATGTCACTTTTTAGTGCCATTGTAACTTCAAATGGTCACTAAATGAATTGTGGTAAATTGAGGATTAGCTGTACTGGAAAAGTTCTTAAAAATTCAGGGAGGCATTCAGAGGTGAACCTGCCTTCAAAGTATCCCATGTCGAACTGCACAGCAGAGTCAAAGAGCAGATGTTGACCCCAGGAAATCTTTTACACCATTTCATATTATGTCATAAAGTGCTTTGTCATCATTTTAGGTCTTAAAATGTTTTATAAAATTTGCCAAATTTCAATTCCATGGGAATCACGTTCTATAAGTTAGCCCTTAGTTTAGTTGAAAGGTTTAGCCCTCGATGGCCTTTTTTTACCCGGTTAAAGGTTGCAGGCAAGAGAGTTTTAATAGCATAAGGATGAGCCCCAAGGCTCATTATAAGTGCAAATCTTTCCCAGGTAAAAATAATGGATTATCAATCTGATTTTTGTGTGTGCAAGCTTTCCTAAACAAGGTGTCCTCTAAAACACTGGTATCTCTAGAGGGGGAGGGGGGGAATTAACATCATGATATCATTTTGCAATTAGTGCAAATGTTGCATTAATGGCATAATTCATATGATCATATATAGGTAGGCCTCAACTTACAACCATTCATTTAGTGACATAATGGGACTGAAAAAAGTGACTCATGACCATTTTTCATACTTATGACCATTGCAACATCCCTATTTGGACACTTGATAACTGACTCATATTTATGACAGTCACAATGTCCCGGGATCCCATGATCCCATGTTGTGGCCTTCTGACAAGCAAAGTCAATGGGGAAGACAGATCCACTTAAGAACCGTATTACTAACTCAACAACTACAGTGATTCACTTAACAACTGTGACAGGAAAGTGGGTAAAACGGGGCAAAATTCACTAAAGAATGCTCTCACTTAGCAAAAGAAATGTTGGACTCCATTGTGGTCATAAGCCAAGGACTATGTGGAATGTGTCGAAGGCAGAAGCAGAAGCAAAAAAGAGCAAGAGAGAAGGCCGAGAAAGCCGAGAAGGCCTAGGGTAGGGGTGTCCAAAGAGCCAAGGTGGTGCAGTGGTTAAATGCAGCACTGCAGGCTACTTCAGCTGACTGCAG